CCCCATATAGCCACTAGTTTGACCTAGTTTCCCACCTAAAGTGAAAGCATTTATTCTTTTTTGTCCACACAAGAAGTGGCGTCTGAAGTTAATATAAGTCTGGTGTTTCCCTGTAGAAATAAAACACAGGTGTATGTGTCAGTAGTTTTCTTTAGTGAAAAGATCTGAAAACATAAATTCAGGTCATAAAAATTGGATATGATGGTGGCTTTAACTTTACTAATAATCTTACTAATCATTAAAAAGTATTATCTTCAATTTTGTATGGAAGCACAATATGGTCTGAAAATAATAAATGAAGTTGCATAATAAAAGGAATGTCTGCAGATGTAATCCCCACCTCTGGACAGTGGCATGTATGCACAATAGTAGGAAATCAATTGCAAAATATTATACAAAGTCCGACATATAAGGAAAAAGAGGATTGAGATATTTTATTTTCCTCTTTTTCATAAACCTGTTCATTTGAGAGGCTATAGCACATGACAGCAAAAATAAAGACCAACTAAAGAACGGCCTTTTGTCAAACTGCATATTGTGCAAACCAAGCTATGTGCTCAAACTGATTAACGTGTGTAAGAGATGACAGTAAAAGAGGGCAATATGAGTCACAAAGTTGTTACATATGCCTAGAGGCTGTAAGATATCCTATTGATCAATATGTATTAAATGAAAATAAGTAATATGATCTGCTTATAAATGAGTCCACAAAAATAAGAATATGATATTGTCTATATTCCTGAGACTGCCTGGATTAAATCTATTCTCTGAAAACCGAAGTAAACATGATGCAGTGATTTATGTTAGAGTCTAATCTCAAACCCACTTTCATCGACTTTTCTGTTAAGGTGTAGTAAGTAAATAAAGTTACCGGTAACTACAGAAGCTTATCTTTGGTATAGAAAGGCACGTTCTCTAAATTTTCCAGTCTTGAGGTTTTATTTGCAAAAATTATTCGTAAGGAATGGCACATGTAAGTGAAATTCTTAAGTAAACAAAGCATGTTATTAATATATTTTAGTAGTTGTATAGCGAAGACTACTTCCTTTATTAGTCTTTCCCTTCAACCTGAAAATTTTGCAGATTCACATTCTCTATCATCATTATGTTTCTTAACGCTACAAATGATAAAGCTAATTATTGTCATTCATTCTACTATTCTATGTACAAAATATAGCAGCTTGAAATTGATAGTATAAATGCTATATAAAATTGTTTTCATTTGGCCATCTATTACTTGCTCAGTAGAGATGTATTTCTACTTTATAAATGAAAGCGGTTACTTCCCAGAATATTCTGAAATTATAATCTCTACTACCTGCTGTAATACCAAGATTTGCCTAAATAAATCAAAGTTGATTCTGATCTCCAGTTTTGACACTCACGGTACCATGATTATATTGAAACTATTTTTAGCTTATTCCGCAAAATGGGCAGAAATTTCTTTAAAATATTTAAATTAAAAAACAATTTAAATCCATTTTTATACATGGAAAACAGGACGTAGTAACCCTTAAAAATTATAAATTACATTAGTAATTTGATGACATATGGCTATAATAAAAATATATTTGATTTTCTTTATTCTCCCGTTCTACAATTTAGATAGATATGACTTTTAAGGAAGTATTAATATTAAATTTTCTAAATAGATTATCCCCTCTAGATAGATAACACATTTCCTTTTAATGCAACATAGGGTTTTGTAGTTATTCTAAAATATGGGGAAAGTATTCATTTGTAGCCATTGGGCTGTGATCACATAGTCAGCATTTCAAAACCACCAGCATCTCCGTGGGAGAAAGACTGGGCTTTCTACTCCCATAAACAGTTACAGTCTCAGAAACCCACACCTGGTCACTGAGTCAGCAGTGACTTGATGGCAGTGAGTTTGATTATCTTTAACATATTCCTAATGATAGTCATCATTTCACAATGTTTAAAATAAATAAAAAGTGTTCAGAGAGAAGCTTAGACTCGGATTCATTTTTTAAAGTATCAGTTTAATCCCTGTGGTATAGTTTGTATGTGGGTATGTTTGTGATTGTGTTTGTTTGGGAGGGGTTATTTTCAGAATATTATAGAAATTACACATTTAACAAAATAACTATGCTTATTTTACATTTCTATATCCTAACCAGTTGATTTGTGAGTCATCAACCAAGAACCCCAGCACCTTAAATCTGTAATTTTGGAGACTGTAATTTTGGAAAGTGGGGATTGCTTTAAATGGACACAACTGAAAAGTATCTATAACATATCATAGGTGATAAGGACTGTGTTATACCATGAAAACTCACATGTCTATATTTATAGTTTTCATTGTAGCGATTTTAAAAAAGAAGTCAGTCTTTATAACGTGTTTTTGTGTACTGTTAATAACTATCACTTTTTACAATATACAATCCAGAAGTAGTCCGTCATAATGTAAATTCATTTAGTACACACTTTATGACTATGATATCAATTTAAACTTGAGGATTAACTCAGGTCTTGGGAAAAGGTCATTTATTATGTATTTGTTTGCATTTTTGACCAAAGATATACTGGCTGATACTTTCTAACATGCCATAGTTGATGTGGCAACAAGGACTATCTTTCAAATAGGCAATGTTTGCAGGTTGAATTTATTGAAAATTGCTTGTGTGTTTACACTCGGGGTAGCAAGCAAACTTAAATTCTTACAAAGTAGCACTCTTAAATTTCAAGACATAAACATGATGAAACATCTTGAACTTTTTATTAGTAATGGCTTTAGAAAACTCAATAGTGCCCTTACCTTTACCACTTCAGGACCACATACCTTGCCACAATAAATAACCGCTATAAAAATGCTCACTTTTCATTATTATTCATTCATTAGTTATTGTTACTACCATTAATATTAATTCTTATGAAGTCACATATTTTTGTGGTTCAAAACAAAGTTTCAGATGCATTGATCAAGTGAAATGGTATTTTAAATTAATGTTATAAAGTTAACATTGCTATTTTCAAAATGGGTCTCTACTTCTACTCTTAAAGAATGTCAATACAGAGGGAGCCCAAGATTCATTTGTGGGAACTACATAGGAAACAAGGCTCCAGTGCACTCCCTCAATCCACAATGGAGGGAGGGGAGGTAAGTGGTTACTAAACAGAGAGTATTGGAGAGAAGAGTATAGAAGATCAAAGGCATAAATCTGCCTTGAACAGTTAACACCTTGTCAGTTGACCCCCACTGTGATGCATGCTGGACCTGATCTGGTTTTCAAAATTTTCTGTGTTTTTGTTCGGTCTTGTTTTGTTTTGTTTTTGTTCGTTCACATTAGGGTGTATCTCAGAGGTGTTATGTCATTGGAGGCCACCCTCTTGAAGCTGTGTTTTATGTTTTTCTGGTTTTCAGACTACGAAACTCAGGAATGATGAACCTATAGGGACAGCAAATAGAATAAGGGTTTTGGGGGACAGGAGGGTACAGTGGTGGTGGTGGAGTAACAGGGAGACAATGTCAAGGAGTTCAGCAAGAAACAGAATGTTTGGGAACAAATTGTGGTGGCAATTGTACTTCTTCTTGATGTGATTGAACTATGGAATGAGATGATATATGTATTAACTCCCAATTAATAATAAAAAAGAATGTCAATAATACATAGTCAGTCTGCATTCGCTCACTTATCAAAAGCACATCTAGTCAACCCAAACTAAAATACAGTCGTTGAACTACGTTCATGTAAAATAAATACCTCTTACCCCAATAAGCTTGTCAAAATCTCACAAAATCCTTTAAATCCTATTTCTACTGCTCTGCTTTTCCATCAATGTCTTCCTGACAACGCAAGTGAGGCGGCGGAGAAACTATTGATTTGGGTGGGGGTTAGGAGTCAAAAAAAGTGGTAAGAAAAGATAGAACGTGAGGTAAGATTGAAAAGCAAAGTCATTTCTATTGTACTGGTTTTTTTTAAGTTACTTTTAGGACAAAGAATTAAGACAAAACCATTGAGAGTTAGTTGGTCATCATTGTTTTGACAATAAAAGTCACTGCAGCAGCCTCTTCAACCGAATGCGTTAGCAAAATCTAGTTTCAGCACCAAGGATAGCAACACTCAGAAAAGGCTCTTTAGAAACTGGCATGCTCTTGTTCACCAATCAAGGAGAGTTACATTCAACAGGAACATAGTACATGGTAAAGTGTCCAGTTATGGTCTAGCTTAGCAGCAAACATGTGACAGTAATTCTGGGAGCAGCCTGAAAAATCAAGTTAATTACGTAAGGTGTCTGAAAAAATACACGAATAATGGTAATCGATCACTAGATACCGAATTACAACTTGACGCACGCAGTGAGTCTCAGATTCACTATTATTCACAAGTTCAAGGGAGGAAAAACATGATAGGACACCAGACTTTCTAAACAACCAGAACAACTCCTGTAAAAAAACCGATCGAATGCTTTTTCTTAACCCTACTTAAACAACGACAAAACACTTCCCACAGTCCTCCCTTCCTTAGTGAGGGTATCGACCAGAGGATTCGAGTGTGCTGGTCCACACAGCAAGCCATGCGTGCGGGTCTCTGACTAGTCTGGCTTTCGCTGTGGTCATCGCGATGCAGTCTTATCAATGTCATCCTAAAAAGTGACATTCAAATTCCAGTTTTCACGAGAGGTATCAGGGCTTGAGTCAGCTGCATAGCTCTAAGAAGTAAACTACAACAACCATTCCCTCGTCTCAGAAGCCCAGGGTCTGGCTTGATCTTTCAGTCCCCACCCGCACCCCACCCCATCAAAGTTAGTCCTCCAGCAGTCAGCCAGGTATCTATCTCTGACTCCCGCAGCTAGTCAACCTCTTACAACCACAGGAACCACGGCTGGGCCGAGGGAGACGGGAGGATACTTCAGAAACACAGTAGAAAAGACCATAACCAAGCAAAGAGGCAGACAGCGCAGAGAGGGGCGGGCACCGGTAGCGGATGGGGGTGGGGGTAGGGGGAGATGGGGGTCGCAGGTTCCAGCGTTCCTACCTTACAGTCCTCCGGACACGATTTCACCGAGTACTCCTCTGATTGTAAATATTTATGGAGCACGCTTTCAAACTCTTCGTACTTCTCCTGAGCGTGGTGGTCGTAGTCTTGGTAAGCCTCGACACATTGCCTGCAGGTGGTCATCTCGCCGTCCTCCTGAAGCACCACATCCAGACTGCAGTTCAAAGTGTTGGGGCTGGACCACCCAGAGAACAACTCCCAAAGTGTGTAGGAATTACAAAACGAAAGGTAAAAATCCGACAAGTTCCAAAGCGGCGGTGGATGCTTCCCTCTCACCTGCTGCTCCTCCCCCCTCGCCGCCACCCCCCGACTCCAGTTCCTGGCGCACACGGTGTCCGCGTCCTCTACGGTGAAGCACTGGCCAGAAGAGGTGCCCTGCGGGTAACAAGTCTCCAGGCGCCACACAGGTCTGGCAGAGTTTCCTAGAAAAAGAGCCTGGCTCCGGTTGGTTTTGCCTCCCTTGCCCTTGTCGCCGCCGCATGGAGCCTGGAGCCAGGCGGGGGGAGGGGGGG